AAAAAAAAAAAATTTGTTTTTAGAATTCAATACTTTAAATGAAATTTTTTATTAGTTCTAATAGAAAATAGCAACTAAAATTATTTGTCAAAATCTAATGAATATGGGTAATAAAAATAAATTATCAAAAATTTAAAAAAAAAAAAAATTAAACAGGTGGGGAGGGCGCCCCGCCCCGTTGCCATCCCTAACCTAGCTGAAGGAGTATGCATTTCTTGAGAGCCAAATGTGTGTCCCTTTAAATTCATGTATAGTTTCTACTTACTTCAACTATATAATTGTTTCCCTATTTATTAATACAAAAACCTCTATTATATTAAAAAATAAACAATCGTGTTCTTCCACTATACTAAATATCTTAAATAAATCAAATCTACAAAGGATGATAAAAGTTTATTAATATAAAAAATAAATAGAGGGAAAATGACAGTACAAGACTCAAGTTGTAGGGAATTTCAAAATTGTATAGCAAAAAGACTTTTGGACGATTTTCGTTCAAAAATCAACCAACTAACCAAAAAATTCATCCGTCCCAATTCACCCAACCCCACTCCTAACCCATACCAACGTAAACTTACCCATTGGTAGGTGGTGAGCCTCTGTTATCGTTACCATTGTTGATTTTGAAGAGAATTTATCTATTTTAATTTATTTTTTCTCAAAATTTCTAAAGGTCTTTGTTAGAAGGAAATTGAGTTGTTGGGATGTGGAAAATGTGGTAGACGGAGGTGGAGGAGATAAGGCGGGGGGATGACATTGTTGTAAGGCTCACCAGTCAAGACATTAGATTTATTCCATACGTGGGTTAAGGGTTGTAGTTAGATGGTCGAGTGAATTGGAGAAGATGAACATTTCTAGTCAACTGATAGATTTTTGAATGAAAAGTTGTCGAGAAGTCCTTCCACTTTTCAGTTTTGAAAGGTTTTGGAACTCGCCGCACATTTTTGAAAGATTTAGAACCTCTCATGCAAATTTCTCTTTTCAATTAATTAAAGGTTAAAATAACAATTTACCCTTTTATAATTGATCAACATATAGTCAAACATCAACTTTTGGTCAAATTATGGATTTTTGGACGTAAATTGTTCGGATGTCATTTTGTCGTAAAATTTTGAAAATTTTGAGACCTTCGTTACTATGATTTAAAAGTTTGGAATGTAATCTGCATATTTGTAAAAGGTTTGAGACCCTTACCCAAAAATGAAAGAAAAATTTGGGCTGCCTAGTTTCTACAATTCTTTTTACCCAAACAAAGATAATGTGCGTATGTGCCCCCTCATGGCACATCCGAGTTGGTGAAACAATAGTATTTGTGGGCTCGCAACCCCATGGAGAGTTCGATTCCTGGAAGGCACGAATCTTGGAAGGGGGATTTTTCTCCGAAGACAAGACAATGACTGAAAGGCAGTGATGAGAGCTCTCTTGAGGTCAGGAGTATAAGCGGTGCAGAAATTTGGGAGCCAACAAGGGCATAATCCACGGTTTACCTCCTCGAGTCGTCGAGGGACCGATGGCTAAAGGTCCAGAATTTAGTCTGGCTAAATTGGGATAGCTGAGTTTAAAAAAAAAAAAAAGATAATGTCCGTATGTGCTTTGAAATTTTAACTAAAAAGAAATATGAAACGAGCGCGTAATCCTCTTCTCCGTAGAGCCGAATGCCCTTACATTACATTGCAGCGAGATATTTATGTCCTTTCATCCCATTTAGCTGCATTTCCATTTACCCACTGCCCTGCCCCGCCCTTCTTCTTCCCTTTCTCAGCATAACTCCACGTCTATTATATATAACTTAAGGGGTGGGTAAAGTTTTTGCTCCTAGTTTTCGACTTTATCAAGATTCTCTTTCTCCTCAATTCAACAATTCTTCAACTCTTTCTTTTCCAAGGTAGGACCGAATGCTGTTTTCATTGACTTCCGATCTAAATGCCCTCTGAATCTTGTAGATCGCTAATTATATTTAGATTTTTTTCGAGTTTCGTTGGTAATATGATTATATTTTGCTACATGTATTGAATATGAAATGCAGATATGCATACTAAGCTAATCGTGGTTGTTCAGTTCTTTTTTTTTTTTTGGGTTTTGTGGGTGGGGGGGGGGGGGGGGGTTTTTTTT